CTTGCACTTTCCTTCTCTCACCAATGTGGTATTTCCTTTAACTATTTTGACTATTCTAACAAAGGCTCTTGTATATAGGGGTGTTCAAACGGTTTGGTTACCATGGTAACAGTTTTAACCGGTACTATTTGGATAATTTGGTTTGGTTAATTTGGATAATTGGTTTGGTTTGGTTAAAGTTTTTAGCTTGTTTGGTTTAGGTTGTTTGGTTTGGTTTCGGACACTCCTAACCAGTCAAACCAAATTAACAAGTTAAGTAATTTGTCATATATCTAACATATATTATATACACATACTTAATACTTTGCATAACCACTCAAGAGCTAACGTTCATCACTTTTAGACTCATAAAATATAAAGCTCAATATTGCTCATATAGTGTATATTTGTATATGTAAAATGTAGACCACAACATATGGACGCCTAATTTAGATAAATTTCATACATTATGATGGATGGAAACTTGAAAGGAAGGTCATTTCCAGCCTATGATAATTTCTAAGAGGCTAAGTCAATTTACACAAACACAACAATTCATTAACCCATACCATTGTCATAGATTTTTGTTAGGTGAATACTTCTATACTAATCGTAAGATAATTGTCTTAGTTGCATGTATTTTTATTAAGGGTCAACTATAACTACGTGTTGGTTGTTATGTTTTATTCATTATATAAATTGCGAATTGTTGCATTAACCAGAAAATTTTCATCGTCAATGATAATGCGATTTTATATTGGTTAATCTGGTTAACCAAACCGATTAAACTTTAGTTTGGTTAATTTGGTTGTTGTATTAGTTTGGACGGTTTGGTTATGTTATTGTATTCCATAGTTAATAGAATTTAGTCTTATTTGATTTGGTTATAACCATGGTAACCATTTGAACACCCCTACATACTTCCTCTAGATCCAGACCTCATAGGGTACTCTGACTTTACTGCGGGTTAGACTTATAGGAAAAGAACTTCCCTTATCTCCTGATCATCCAAAATGCAATCATGTGTGGCACTTCCAAAAGAGAAGTTGAATACTTAGTTGCGGGAAATTATTGTGTACAACTTATATCGATAAACAACAACTGGTGGACTATGGCCTACAAATAGCTACCAATTCTAGTGCCATAAAAATGAGCAAAAGCCTGATTAGAAATTATTCTATAATGGCTACTAATTCACACCACGAAGTAATTCATGGGATGCTAAGGTATATTCTAAAAGATTTACTTGGTAGAGTTTATTCTATTGTACAAAGGATTGACTAGTTTACTTCCACTCTTGGGATATAGTGATTCGGATTAGGTAATATGTACTCTTGGAAATCTATCACTATACATTGAACATTTCTTGATCAATGTATTTTTAGTTGGAAAACAAAAACAAAGAACGATTCCTTTTTCATCTTCATAATGCAAAATAACAAGTTTGTCTCAATTTAGTTGTTTGAAGAATGAGATTTAGACTTGGGGTTTTCAAAGAATTTCATAATGTATTTAGTATATAAATTTCATATTTAGATTTTAGAGATTTCAAGTTTCAATTAATAATAGAGATTATTACTTCTCTTCAATGGAAAATTAGAATCTTTTTTGTCATGTCAAGAATTACAACAATTGCAAATGGGTTTGCTACACTCATTTCAAATAATCTTAGGGTTAGAATCTTCTAATTATTTAAGATCTTGGATTTATATATATTATGATTCTCCAATTGAATTCTTAATCATGTGCTTTAATTGTTGAAGAGCTTATTCGATGTTATTATTTGTTGTTTTCAATTGTTATCATTATAAGTGTTAAAATAGAACACGACTCGACTAACCCGACTGATCGACCTGACCCGCAACCCGACCGCAATTCGAATTAACTAAAAATCAACAACCCGAAACCCGCCCAACCTGCAACCCGATTGACCCGCAATCTGACTGATCCGCAACCCGATTAACCCGAACCCGATTGACCCGCAACCCGATTAACCCGAACCCAATTGAACTCGAACCCGATAAACCCGCAACCCGATGAACTCGCAACCCATTTGAACCCAAACCCGATTAAGCCCAGCCTGAACCCCCCCGATTGACACCTATAGTTACCATTGTGATGTCTTGAATCTGTGTATTTGATCTATGATTGCTTGTATGAGACTAACTAGCACATAAATCTATTATGTTACTGCATCATTAAACATTTATGTAATGTACTTTTTTCCTTTATCGATTTCTCTCTCTATTTTAACAAGTTAGTAATTCTTTTATGAATTAGTTAATACAAAGAGTAGTTATTGTTCTGAAAGATCTCACTAATGTCAACAGGTTTGAAAACTTGCTTCGAACAATTACGATTATTATCTATACCATTGATAGAATTCATCCGTCCAACGTATAGGCTCATATTTACTATAGTATTTATTTTATTTCTTATAATTATTAATTTATATTAACAATATAAAAGTGTAGTTATTTTTTGGAATTATAGGTAAGATTATAATTTAATATTATACATAAAATCATTTAAAATTTCAAAATAACAAACGGAAAATACCACATGTGTGGAGGTTGTTATTGGTTAGTAGTTAACCGTCAAACCAGTCACTAACCGAACCTATAACAAGCGGTTACCCGATAAGCACTATCAGTTCTGTTTTTGGTATACATTTTTTTCGTAGTGGTTAACCATTGACCGCCAAATCAGTTAGTGCTTAACCGAAACCAAAGCGATCAGCACCCTGATATTTAGTGTATCATGTAAATATTAATGTTGTTTACTTTTCTTTCCTTATCGACTTCTATCTCTAATATTATAACAAGTTAGTAATTCTTTTGTGAGTTAATACAAAGGGTAGTGATTGTTCTGAAAAAATCTCACTAATGTCAACAGGTTTGAAAGCTTGTAATTAACCACGGCCGCATTGGACATCGCAACTCTCTCATTTCCACACTCAGCCGGTCAGTCCTCCACAAATAACCAGATAAAAAAGATTAAGCAGCGACATAAATGTTTCAGGATTCGGAAGAAGCAAAACCAGAGATAACCATCGAATGTGTTTCCACATTTCAAAGATCTCTCTACTAATTCTTAACGAAACTCATAAATACAGAGAGGAGAGATGGGCCTCGAGTCAATACGAGAGAAAAGGGAAAAAATAGAGCAGAAGAGAAAGAGGCCATGCTCATGCATCAATAATAAATATAGAGATGAGAGAATAATTAGGAGAAGTGAATAATAAGTGAACCAATCAAAATTTTATAGTGTATACCTCCACCGCCTCCCAATCGGAAAATCTCAACGTGTGCCAAAGGTCACATAGCTCGGTTAGTGAACCCTCGTTGAACGCTCGTTCTAGACGTGTGAGGTCCTGAGGTTGACCTCTTTTGAGGCCATTTCGTGGTGTTATCGGCGACGCTAATGCAGAACTTAGTGGAGAGACCATATAGCTCAAGCAGGTGAATCCCAAAGTTTGATCTCGCTCTACCATCGCCAGGCAGCCACCCTGATCTCATCTTGACTCTCAACATAGGTTTCAACTTTCAAGCCCATAACCCCAAAACCCCGCCTATTTATTCCAATGCAACTACTTTATTTTGGAACAACCGAAAAGGAGAAAAGTCAATTTAGATGGTCATGAGATGTTAATTGACAAGTTATTAAAAAAAGTAGTTTATGGAAGGCTGATTGGCCTAATCCGAAGAAAAAAGTGTTTCATTCATACTCAAATTAAGTTGGTCAACATGCACATATGATCGAGAAAGATTCTCATTCAGTTTCATGCTTAAAGTAGTACAAAGAAATTAATATCATCAACTAATCCAAAATCAAGGGAAAAAGTTAGTACATGTGAACTTTCGACCAATATTTCATTTAGGTTACTAAATGTGGCTGAATGTATGATTTTGACGTCAATGTGGTTGATCAAATCAAAGAATTTATTCGAATAACCAGAAGATCGTAGTTTAACATAAATATTGAGATGATAACGTTTATCAAACCCTGAATTGCAACCTTATGTTAAAATAGTAAACTTCCCGTCAACCAACACCTCATTAATAACCCATGCTTAAGCTGTTTTTTTTTTCTTCATAAATACATTTCATTGACTCAGAGAATTACGTATCTTGTTTAGAATCATGGATTGCTAAAATTAATACGTGGTTAAGCATATAGTGTGAAGTAAATATGTTTACATTTTCTCGGATAAAGAGTTGGTTTGAAGACTTTGTATGCACACGAGAGTGAGTTCAATGTAGACTTTTGAGTAGCTGCCATAGAGTTTTTTTTTTTTTTTTTCTTTCTTTATTGGTGACATTGAAAGAAAAGAATGCCAAGATTAGTTGTTATGTTCACCCTTTGTATTGAATAACAATCTTATCACTAGTTTCTATCTAATTGTATTTGTATGTCTAAGTAATACCTATATATGCATGTCACTCTAAGAGTTATAAGTCGCTAACCAAACTGTGCAGATTCAGAAATATGGGAAAAGATTCCAGCTTTATCAGTCAGCTTGCGTATACATTGACATCCTCATTCCTCATTGTATTCGAAATATATAACAATAACCCCAAAAAAAAAAATATCTTGGACGTCACGATCTAAATACATATCGTTAGCCATACTTCCTCCCTCTATCAAACCGCCATTAATACGCCCCGTGCAAGCAAAACCCCAAACACACATTAAAGCCCTCTCTCTCACACTCTCTGTCTACAGAAATCTGGAACACAGAGAGAGAGAGACTCTTCCATTCTTTGTATATAAAAAAGGGAGAGACAAAGGGATCAGAAGCAGAACTACCCAAAGTTTCACAATATACTTCTATTCTCTCTCTCTCTCTCTCTCTCTCTCTCTCTCTCTCTCTCTCTCTCTCTCACACACACACATTCACAAACTTTGGTCTGAGTAGTGTAGTACAGAAAAGAGGGCAACCCCAATTCACTGCAACAGGACCATTTAAGAGGGAGGGGTCTGGCTTCTGATATATATATGTGAATGAAGAAGATTCCAACAAGCCCATGATGCCATCTATTATCAAAGCTTAGCCAGCCATATATGAATATGAGTGGAAGTCTTTTCTTTCTTTCTACAACTCTTTTGCCTCTTCTCCTTCATGGCGATTGTACTTGGGAGATGATGAGCAGTAGTGGAAAAGCGTTTCAGTTTTAATGTAAGTGATGAGATAGAAAGGTAAAAAAGGAGATGGATGGGACTCTCTCTTGTACTTGCTTCTCTTCCACCCCCATCCCCATATTTTCCTTTCTTGTTTATTATTGTTGCAGGGGATTCCTGTTGCTGGGTTTCTTCTATTTTATCAAATTTCGATTTTATAAACTCCTCTCTCTCTCTCTCTCTCTCTCTCTTTTTTTTACAAGATAGATAAAACCCACTTTCCTTCTTTCTTTCCTTATATTTTTATCTTTTATTATTATTATTATTATTATTATTATTATTATTATTAATTCCAATTCAATGAGAAATAGTTTAGAATTGAAATGAGAACACAATGGGTGGAGAGAAGGTGGGAGTGAGTACTGTCTAGGTGAAGAGAGGCTGCCTGCCTATAAGAATAAAGGGATGGTTATGTTATTTTGATGTGTCTGTCTGGCTAGAGAATTCAGCAATCACTAGCACTTCACTGCACTATATATATAGGTATGTATAGCCACAGCCATAGCCATTGATAGAGAGAGAACAAAGCAAAGCAAAGCACCCAAACAAAAGGGTTTCCTACTTGCTATATATAATACCAACATCTTTCTTCTTGCTTTTGCTTCTGCTTCTGCTTCTGCTTCATATTCTATTGGATCTTCTTCTCATTAGCTATAGCCTCAGTGTGGTAAGTGCTAACTAGGCCTTTCTGTTGCCCTACTTTTGCTTGTTCGTTGGCACATATATAGATCGAAAGCCGAAGTTTGAGAGAAATTAAGATGGCATCCTCGAATCGACACTGGCCCAGCTTGTTCAAGTCCAAGCCCGTGGTCTGCAATCAATGGCAGCATGACGTCAGCAACCACCCTTCCTCTAACTGCCACCCTCGCCCTTCCTCCTCCTACAGCCCCCGTACGTCATTTTCCTTCCCACTTCCTCGATCGTCTTGTCATCATATATATTCAAACTAAGCTTAATTATTAACTCGATCTTCATGTTTTTCTTATGTGCGTGACTGCAGTGGTCGGGGAGGAGCGGAGCCCGGAGCCGAAGCCGCGGTGGAACCCGAAGCCGGAGCAGATCAGGATCCTGGAGTCCATCTTCAACTCCGGCATGGTCAACCCTCCCCGCGACGAGATCCGCAAGATCCGTCTCCAGCTCCAGGAGTTCGGCCACGTCGGCGACGCCAACGTCTTCTACTGGTTCCAGAACCGCAAGTCCCGCACCAAGCACAAGCTCCGCAACCTCCACCCCCACTCTCCCTCCGCCGCCACCTCATCCTCTTCCAAACCACTCTCCACTGCCACCTCATCCTCCTCCTCTTCCTCCGACAACAACAACAACAAGCCCTCCCCTCGCGGCTCCAAGCGCACCCTCTCCTCAAGGAACTCCTCAGCTCCCCACCACGGCGTCGTTTCCCCGCAAACTCAGCATTCCTACTTACCCGCGGCCCAACACCACCACGACTTCTTCCCTGGGCCGGAGCCCTTTTTCCCGCAGGGTAGCACCAGCGTGAACGTTGCGCCTCCGTTTGGGCAGGGGTTTTGCTTCTCGGAGCCGGCGGCGGTGAATGTGGGGCCGTGTACCAGTCTTCTGCTCAGCGACATTCTGAGTGTCGATCAAGCTCCTGCGGCCTACAGAAAGCTGGAGAATCGCCACAGTGACGTGGCTGACGATGATGATTGCACCAAGAAGTTGCACCAGCTTTGCTATACGCTGGCGCCTACTGTTCCCAGCATCGGCCTCGGCCCGCCAGGTGGCAATCTCGATCTCCAATCCGACGGCGTTGGTGCTGCCACGTGCAATACCACCGCTTCTAATAATACTGCTGCTGTCCTTCCTTCTTCCCTAATTCTCAACCAATTTCAAGGTTAGTAATTTTAATTATTTAAGTACGGCCGACATTAGGTTATATGTACGATGTAGAAGTAGATTAAACGAGGTTGCTGAGTGGTGACTATATATGTTCTTCATACCAAATATATACATTTTAAAATTTATAAAAATAAAAGTACAGATTTTTATTAGGCATGTATGAAATTTCAATAGATGGACAGGACAAGTGATGTAATGTATCGAGAGAGCTTTTCTGAAAGGTAGGAAGATGGCATGGGGGGAGGGAGAACTGAAGAGAAGAGGGGTATGAACAGTAAAAGAATGGGCTACATTTGTCTTTTCCTCACTAACAAGCTTGTCTAGATGGACGTGTGCATGGCCATTTCTGTTTTTCCTTTGACAAAAAAAATTTTGATTTGACCGTTTGACACACGTCCTCCTTCCCCTCACATATGCAATCTCTTTATTGTATTTGATGATAATAGAAAATGGCTTGACGCAAATTATTTTTCAGGTATTGGTGGGGATAATGTGCAGCCGCCGGCGGGAGTCAGCGGGGGAGGGAGATCGCCGACGGCGACGGTGTTCATAAACGAGGTGGCGATTGAGGTTGGGGCGGGGCCGTTCAACGTGAGGGAGGCATTCGGGGACGACGTGCTGTTGGTTCACTCTTCCGGCCAGCCGGTTCTGACCGACGAGTGGGGAATTACGCTTCACTCCCTCCACCACGGCGGTTTCTACTACTTGCTACCCTTCTCCACCGCCCACCACGTCAGTATTTCGTTTCTTCTTATTATATTTTTGTTTTCATTTTCCCCTTTCAGTTAGTTAATTAATTAATGGAGACGCACAATCGCTGAATCACAGTTTTGTTGACAATAATGATGATGCCGTACAGCTTGACGCCTGTCCACACACATACTTATCATATTTTAAATGCATGTGTGAACAGTAATATATGGGATTCATGAATTTGTTCACTAATTAAATTAAGTTTTTTCCCCATTTTCTCCTTGGATCGCAGATTTAAGACGATGATGATGAAAGACAGACAGACAGACGAGACGAGTGGCGCCTTGAAATACCCAGCGCCAGCCCGTACGTGTGGATCCCATCGTATCGTGTTCTGGTGGCGAATTAGGGGGCTTTTTTTTTTTGTTTAAATATATTAGCTAGATAGGGTTTTTCTGAGGCCACACTTGTAGCTAGGTTTGGATGTGGGAACAAAGCCGTGTTGGAAGCTTCTTCTTTTGTGGCCTTTTTTCTCTCTTTTGTCTCTGTTGCTGGCTTTATCGCTTACCAAGTATCAACTCTTTTTTTGGCTTTGTTTGGTTGCGGCAATCTTGCTATTTATCAAAGCCCAAGTATGCTATATTGCTATTGCTAACTTTTCCCTATATATATATACTTGAAACAGAATATATAAGTGTGTTTATGATCTCCACCCGGCTACGCTATCGAAATTGTGGGTTCCAGCGAATTCACATGGTTTGACAAAACCGCGTACTGGATTCAATCAATCCAATTTGCCGGAGAGCACATTTGTGAGTGTGTGCGTAGGTTTGTGTAGTAAGTACAATGTTTATCTTGCATAGTTTGAGGAACGATCATCAATTGTTTCGGTATCCAATGAACAATTGTTAAATGTTCATATTGCATATTTAATATCGAGTTGACGGGTTATTCATACAACCGATAGGGAAAGAAATGAAGGAATCCCCGGCTAATGCCTCCACGGACATAACTTTGGACAGCCCTTCCCAGTATAAAAGCTTGAAAAAGATATACTGCAAAATATTCATTATTCCTTCCAATCACATTGAGAACAAGTCCAAAATCTAGCCCTAGCAAGTTAGACCAAATAGGTTATTCTATTACAAACACAACTAACAAATCTAACAAAAATCTAATAAAACAATAACAAAGTACGTAATTGAATTTCTTCTGCATCGATAAATATGAGCACCTTCCACCACCTTATTGAACACCACCTTGACATCGCCTGCAAATACCACCAATTTGAACACCCCTAGTCAAGCACTATCAAATCGCACAAAATGGATGAATGTTGATGGAGAAATTCAGATTCTACCTAATCCAGAAGGAGAGTGGAAGGAGACATAAAATACATACATAATGCATGGAAAAAATAAAATGATGGAAAGAAGGGACATGCATATAGTTTACATGTGGGTATTTTTGGTTGGTCCTCCCAAAAGGGTAAGGTGTTAATGTCGGAGGAGGAATAACTTGTGTTAAGTACTTTTGTAGCATGGAACCATGAAAGATGGAAATTACACATACCATCCACAAAGACAGATGCCAATACTGTTTGTTTTCCGAGTTGTCAAATTGGAAGTAGAGTGGTTGGAGTGGTAGCTAGAGGGTGAAAAAAAAAATGGCAAGGAAGGAATCGGAGGTTGAGTGGTGCAGAATATTTACGTGCCCGCTGTTGTCAACAGTGCTTGCTGATATACATAATACTCTCACTCAGCCGCGGAGAGGCTTACCTGACCACAACACTACAGTCAACACAAAAACCACACCATTTCGATTTGACCCATTGGACATGGATTTATCATCATATTCATATCATGATGACCAGACCACCTCCAAAAATGCAGAGGCACGAACAGTGGACTGGTGTTGTCTGTCTCATCTGTGCTTTGCATCAACACTACACTAGCTATCAAAAGGAGATGGGTGTTGGGGGTGAAATATTTTTGTCATGATGAGAATATGGACCTTATAAGGACACACATTACTACATCTTCTGCTCCAAATATATGTTGACCCAGCTGCTGGTTTCTGTTCATCATCTTTGATTTGACCCCTTCTTTTTTCTCTCTTCTATCTCCAAGTTTTTATCCCCCTTGGCCAGAGGTGAAAGAAATATTGCATTACATTTACATGTATGTATTGTATTCCAACATGAGATTCAACCATTATTATGTAAGACCATCTATGTGAGTTTTATGTTGCAATTTGATAGAAACCACTTCGATAGGGGTTTTTATTTTTATTATTAATTATAACTACTAATAGGGTAATTCTTATTATGGTTAGTAGTATTCTAGTAGAATTAGGATTATTAGTAGGGTTTTCCTATATTCGCTATAAATATGTACTAGGTCTATTCATTCGGAGTCAATAAGAAGAATATTAAGAAAACAATCTCCTAAACCCTATTCTCCCAATCTTCTCAATTCTAGATCTCAATCCATCTAAAGGCCTAGGCCGATTCTCTATCTTTCTCTTCTCAAATCCCTAATTCTATTCTTAATCACTAAATCTCACTCTCACGACCAGACCCGATAGAACCCTAATCCCAGGTTCTATCACAATTTCACAAATGTTTACCTACTTAGTTGCTAACTTAGTTACATTGTATGTATCCTACTACAATTCCACTTGCAATGTCGTATGGGTAATTGTTTTACTTGCTTTCATTTTTCTTGAGAACATTTGGAATTCAAGGAATTTGTTTCACTTGTATTGTCAATGAGATTATAAGTATTTATTTAGGGATCATTTGGAGAAAAGTTTCGTCGAATTTATAGATTTAGCAGAAACCTATGTTTTCAAATCCCTTCCTCTTTTATAGTTAACCCACTATATATTCTTACTAATAAATTTTAATTATATTTATAGCCACTTAAATTATTTTGGTTAAGAGTTAACAAGTCATTTTCATATTAAAAAATATGGAATTTTTATTTTTGGGCTAATACTACTAAAAATACTTATTTTTGCTAAATTTTCCATTTGTATGGCGTAAATTTTTATATTACATTTGTATACCAACTCGTCTCTTCAGTTAGATTTTCTGTTAAAAGTTAACAGAATACACAGTCAGGGATAACATGGGTGTTGACATGGAATTCTTTTACCTAAAAAAACATAGAACCATCCCTAACTTCACTTCTCTCTAACCCCCGAGCCCCATCATCTGTTATTAAAAGATAACCCTAGCTAGTGGTTAGACGACGGAGGGGTAGCGACGAAGGCGACCGCATCATGGGAGGGCTTTCCTTGTTTTGGATCATCAAACAAGGACAATCATCGCCAATGGAGCTGGATGTGGAGATTTGAGAAAAGCAACGACGATTAATAAATGGATTGGAACAGGAGAAGGCTGACAATGGTCGAAATTCATACTAGAATAGAGGAAAACATCTCCAAATTTGAATTGGTCTCGAGATTTGATAGTTAAAACAACAACACCAAATTCCTCTTCTTCACCTTGTCCATGTAAGATCAAATCCTCATCAATCCCCACTGTCGATGGAAGATCTCACCTTCACATGATGAGTCGATCTCGAGCTAAGGATTTCGGAGTGCGTTGGAGAGCTTGAAGGAGGTTATGGCTTGAATCTTAGCAGCGGAGACTACGACAACAGTTTGATTGCGATTGGGAGCAAAGATGAAGCTTTGAGCTTTCTCCAATTGCTTTCTCTTCTTCCTGTCGATCACCACGAAGAGTGTCCTCCAACCTTCTTCAGATGCCTCAGATGACCACACCATTCTTTCCTCATTTCTTCGTAGCACCTTCACCTCCGAGCAACAGCAACATCGCATGCCTCACCACCACGTTTCCTCTGCGCAGATCACTTAACCTTCATTGTCCTTCCTATGCCGCCAGCCCCACCAGCAACCTCTCCTACATGTTCAATTTCACATATATATATATGGCGAATTCTACGGTACCCAGGGTGAAATCCGGGGTACCGCATACCTTGAGTAAAAAAACGCTATCTAGAACTTTAATTGACTGATCTTTCGGACATGATACTATACTCTAATCCTTAAAGATCAACATCTATGTCTGAATTCTCTAAATCTTATACCCCAAGATTAATTTAACTAGAAACAATAATCGGCGGTTATGATTCGTCCAAATATAGGCAAAAAAATCAATGCACCATCTTAGAGTTTATAGTTTATGATTTAGATAATCAGGAACTAGGGTTCACTCATTAAGGGTTAGGGTATAGTATCATACCCAAAAATCCTGCTAATTCGAGGTCTAGATAGCGTTTTCATACTCAAGGTATGCAGTACCTCAGATTTCAGCCGGGGCACTGTAGTAGGCACCATATATATATATATATATGGCAAATGCTAGCGTACGTCAGTCGTACACTGTACGCCTGTGTTCACACTTGGTTTTTGCACTTCAATATATCTCGCTGAATCAGAACCGTCGGTTATTATTTTTTAGATTAAATGAGTCTCGTGGCTTGGGTTAGAGAATTAGGGACTGGGGTTTATCCATTAGAGGCTAGGGTATAGTATCATGCCCAAAATTTCGGTTAATTCCCGCTCTAAATAGTAAAACTCGACGGGCGTACAATATACGACTGACGTACGCTAGCCTGAACCATATATATATATATATATATATATATATATATATATATATATTGTTGTGAAAGATTTGGTCAGAATTAGAAATATAAAATTGGAAAGTTTTCTCCATTCCATAATTGAGATTGAATTTAATCTATGATTGAGATTGATTTTGATGTATCAATTGAAGCTCAACTATATTTTCAATATCAATATTAAGGGGGAATTGTGAAATTGATTGCAGAGGCACACCTCCAAATTCATCCTTTGTCGGAGTTAAAGAAGCGTCCCCTAGAGTGAGTTCGTTTAGGGTATGCAATGGCAGTAAGTAGGAGCTGAGAATACGGTTCTCCTCTGATCATGAGAAAGGAACCTGATGAAGGAGGAAAAATTAGAGGGAGATAATGAGAAGGGAAACGACAACAAAGGGATCCTTGGAGGGTGAGAAAGAAATCTAGCAATTATACAGTTGGAGACATCTTAGGCTAAAGGAAGGATAAGAGATTTCACCTGATATACTATACAAGTAGGACACTCAATGAAGTACAAGTCATCGCCCAAGACAATATCAAGCATTCTATAGGAAGCTTACTATGAGCTGAAGGAAGCGAATGCCAAGCTAGACGTAAAAGGTTGATAAAACGAATAGCACAAACGCACGAGACCGATTTACGTGGTTTCCCCGTTCGATGTGAACGAGACTATTCCACGGAGAGCATGAGCTCTCAGTTCTTTTATTGATATGATTTTCTGATACTTGGTTCGGCCATCAACATGTAACAGGCCTTAAATATGAAGAGAAAACCCTAATTCCCTTCGAGTAGTGTTTACAGGGAAGTTAGGTTACAAGGTAAGGAAATGACAAGGAACTTAGACAAAACCAGCCGAGGTCCAAGTGTGAGATCAACTCGGCCCAACCCAATGATCCGCAATACTCCCCCTCAAGCGGAGGCATAGAGATCAAACATGCCAAGCTTGTACAAAAGATGATGAAAATGATCCACGCCTAGCCCTTTCGTGAAAAGATCTGCAGGCTGATCAGCAGTGGCAATCTTGCGAGGAGAGATGTCGTGAAATTGAACACGCTCACGAAAAAAATAACAATCCATTTACACGTGCTTAGTATGCTCATGGAACACCGGATTCGCTGCAATGTGGAGAGCGGCTTGGCTATCGCAGTAAAGAGGAGTGGGGCTAGACTGAGGAGCTCCAAGATCGGAAAGAAGCCAGCGCAACCAGATGATCTCGCTAACTGTGCTAGCCATAGCACGATATTATGCTTCAGCCGAGGAACGCGCAACAACAGACTGCTTCTTAGTGCGTCAAGAGACCAGAGCAGAGCCCAAACGCAGGAAGAAACCTGTGGTGGAACGACGTGTCGTGGGGCAACCCGCCCAATCGGCGTCACAGAAGCCAGTGAGAATCAATGAGCTCTGTGTAGGGAAGAATAGACCATGACCAGGAGAATTCTTAAGGTAACGAAGTACACGATGAGTTGTGTCCCAGTGAGCCTGAGTAGGAGCATGAACAGCTTGACTCAGAAGATTGACCGTGTAAGTGATGTCAGGACGTGTCACAGTGAGATAAAGTAAACGGCCAACAAGGCGATGAAAAGCACTAGGATCAGCGACAGGGGGAGACTCGTGTCGGCCCAGGTGATGTTTCTGCTCGATGGGGGAAGAACATGGCCGAGTGACCTGAAGTCCGGAATCAGCAATATATCCAAGACATACTTACGTTGGTTGATGACGACACCACAAGGAGAACGTGCAACTTCGATTCCCAGAAAATATTTCAGGGGACCCAAATCTTTGATGGTGAATTTATCATGGAGAAACTTCTTGACCTGTTGAATGAAAGTAAGATCATCACCAGCTAGGATGACATCGTCGACATAAATGAGAGCAACCACAAAGGACCGAGTGGTGCGATGAATGAAGAGAGAATGATCAGCATGGCTCTGCCGAAAACCAAACTCCACGAGAGCTGCTGAGAATTTTTTATACCAATTACGCGACGCTTGCTTCAACCCGTATATGGATTTGCGAAGAAGACAAATCCGTTCATCCCCAGGAAGACGAAAACCTTGAGTTACCTTCATGTAGACCTCTTCCTGAAGGTCACCGTGGAGAAATGCATTATTAACGTCCAGTTGGTGAATAAACCAACCCCGTGTCACAGCAACTGCAAGAAGACAACGAATCGTGACAAGTTTTGCAACCGGAGCATACGTGTGAAACCCTTGGCCATTTGCAACCAGGGCCGAGATCTCGGCTTGCATGGCCAACCACCAATGCAAGTAACGAACTGCCTGGTGATAGTACCGAGGTTCAGGATGATAGTCGATGCCCTCGACCTGAGTGAAACCCTTGGCCACAAGTCGAGCCTTGTAGCGTTCAATCGAACCATCTGGGTTGAACTTGATTTTGTAAACCCATTTGCAGTCAATAGCTCGCTTACCTGGAGGAAGATAGACTAGTTCCCAGGTACCATTTGCAACCAGGGCCGAGATCTCGGCTTGCATGGCCAACCACCAATGCAAGTAACGAACTGCCTGGTGATAGTACCGAGGTTCAGGATGATGAGTAATGCTAGCCACAAAAGCACGATGGGGCTCGGAGAGCCGATGATAACTGACGTGGTGTGCCATGGGATAGAGAACCGAATTGGCTTGAGAAGAGCCAGGAAGCTCAACATCGTAAGCTTCCATGAGATGCTTTGGAGGATGTCGCTCGCGATTGCTTCGAAGAGGTTCAGGGGCTGATGAATTGGCCGCCGCTGATGTCGTGGCAGAAGGAGAGGGAGCGGGAGAGCTCGATGAGGTAGTGGAAGGAGAGGGACTTGTCCCAGGATCAGGGACGTGAGGAGTGGTGGTGTCCTCGTGAGTAGAGGTCTGATTTGCCAATAATGGGGCAGCATCATCAATTATCCTGGTGGGAAATATATCAACAGAAGGTGAATTTGCATGGTCATGCAACGTGCAAGGCCCATGGCCACCATGCAAATCCTTGTTTTTTGAATGGCATGACAGCTTCCAAGAACTTGACGTCGCGCGAGGTATAGATGGTGTGTGTCTCAAGATCAAACACCTGATATCCTCGTTGCATAGCTGGGTAGCCAACAAACACGCCAGGACGTCCTCGATCGACAAATTTATCAAGGTGCTTGTGTGTGTTTTAGGCATACACGAGACAACCAAGGACCCGCAAATGATCATACCTAGGAGCTCGACCGAAAAGAACTTGATATGGGCTCCTGTTGTTGAGTGGAGCGAGAGGCATACGATTGATTAAGTATGCAGCTGTCAAGACACACTCTCCCCAGAAGGAAAGGGGTAAACCCGCATGCACTCGCAGGGCGCAAGCAGTTTCGAGCAGGTGGCGATGTTTTCATTCTACGACACCATTCTGTTGAGGTGTGTCGGGACAAGAAGTTTTCAAAATGATACCCTCTTGCGCATAATAATCATGCAATTCTAATGTTGAGAATTCTCGGTCGTTGTCCGCTTGGATACGACGAACAACTTTATCGTACTGGGTACGAACTTGATTACAAAAGACCAACAGATACTTTGCCACTTCCGACTTGTGTTTCAATAAAAAAAACACAGACTGCTCTATTGAAGTCATCGACAATCGTGAGAAAATAGTGAGCACCAGTAGATGATGCTTCATGATAGCCGCCCCAAATATCAATATGAATAAGCTCAAAACAATCCTTAGTGTTGATCATACTATGACTGAAAGGAAGTCTAGTCTGCTTTGCCCGTAAACAAGAATCACACGGGTCATTATTGAGAAGCAAAGGACTAGAAATAAAAGGCTGAAGTGCCAGCATCTTCGCCCCAGATGGATGTCCGAGCCTAGAATGCCAAAGTTCTAAGCCACCGATTGCCTTCCTTGCTGCCAACGCCACAGAATGACTGCCATCAAAAACTCGTAAATGATAGAGACCGTTAAGATGTGTCCCCATCCCAATCATCCTCTTCGAGTGCAAGTCCTGTATAACACAGAAATTGCTTAAGAATACAACTGGAACTGAATGATCCGCAGTGAGCCGACTGGCTGACAAGAGATTGCACTGAAATTCCGGAACGTGCAAGACACGACGAAGAACCAAGTCATTAGACAATTTTGTTGTTCCTATACCATGGACAGGAACTCCCTTTCCATTGGGAATTCGGACCTGTAATTGGGAGCTCAATTCCGGCTCATCGACAAACAATGCATCATTATTAATAATATGCTCATTACAGCCCGAATCAATAATCCAAGTATTAGTAGTAGGAAAAATATTACCTGTCATATTGACAGCCATTCCATCTGTGGGCTTTGAGTCGGGATTAAGAAAAGCGCAAAGTTAAGCGACTTGCGCGGCAGAGAGGCCAGGGATGGCGCCGACTTCGCTCTCCACGGCTGCTGCTTGTGGGTCAAAACACTGTTGTCGCCCATTGTTGGAAGGTCGGCGACGAGAACGATCACCCTTGCCAACTTGCTTGGGAGGATACCCATTTAACTCATAGCAGGTCTCCTTGAAGTGACCTGGTTTCTGACAGT